CAAATATTCTATCTAGACAACCCAAAGGCCAACAGGGGTTGGAAAGTTGTTCAAAAGATTGATCAAAGAGGGCTATATGATATTCCTGAACTAGATCATGATGACAACGACAACATCGCTGACCAATAGTTAACATCTTTGATAGAAATTGGTGAAGAAACACTCTGAGATACTAATGTTGTCCAAGAACCATTTCAAGTAGCTAGAGTTCCCGAAATTGAAATACCAATAGAGTCAATTACAATTGACCTTGGTGATCTGCCACAATACAATGCACCAGAAGAGGCAAACGAAGATTAGGATGAATGGGAATCCGAAAATGATAGTAGTGAGGGTAGCAATAGTTATTATTGTAGTTCGAATGAGGTTTAATGTAAACTTGTTAAATTTAATGGTATATTTTTATTAAGGAGCTTTAAATTTTATTTAATTTGTACGTAAAATACATTTTATAATTATTATTTAGTTATTAAGTAGCATTAAATTTTATTTAATTTGTATGTATAATAAATTTTTTTTTTTTCAAATATAACTGGCGCGACGCCACAATGAGGCCGTTGTGCAAACACCTATAGTGTGACGTCATAACATATACATGTGTCACACAATTTGTTAAAATTTTGGTAGTTCAATTAGAAAATATGGGCCTTTTTTTAAAAAAAATTTCCAAATTATTGCGCGACACTGGTGCGTCGCGCAAGGTCTTTTTAATATCAAAGTCCCCCTCCCTTTCTCGCCCTCTCACTCACTCCGTCTCTCTCTTCCCTCTCGCAATGTTTCACTCTCAGTCTCTCTCTTCCCTACTCCACCATTTCATTCTCACTCAAATTAATTTCAATTCACTCGCACCTCAGCACTCCGTTTTCCAAATTCCTATTCACTGAAGTTAATCGAAAGTAGGTTACCCTCTTCATCTCCTCAAGTAAATTTGATTATCTATCAATTTCCCTCAATTTTTTTTGTTGGTTTCAAATTTATATTGATTGCTAGGTTTTGGAAGGGTGTATGGGTTTGGGTAATTTCATATTATTATGGGATTTTGGCAAATTTTGGCTTTTGAGTTTGGATTGGAATTTGATTTTTGTTGACAATTTTCTGATAAAGCCCAACAAGAAATTTAGGAGTCTAATTTTTTTTTTTTTTAACATAATCTTCAGACTTTTTTCTGGACAGATGCTAATTGTATTTGTAACAAAGTCGATCCTTTCTTGGGGCAGCTTCTTTAGAGTCTAAGCGAGGTTTAGATTAGTAATTAAGTGTTGTGGATCACCTAAAAAATAGTTATGGTTGATGCCTTTGTATACTGGAATTTTGAGTGTGGACACATGGGTGTCCGTGTGCTGTGTTTCCTGGAGGTAGACCTTCAGATTTTACAAATAGAAAGTTTTTTTGTTCGTTGTGTTTCCTTCTTGAGAGTTTAATTGATGAAAAAGTAGTCGGAGGCTGCAGGGTTGATGAGCACTGAATGGGCTAGCATAATCTAATCGTAGCTGTTTGAAGGCAGGAACATAACTTACTCCAACGAATTGATGAAGATAGCGTATGACTCGTGACATCGTGGAGCGGTTACCTCACAGCAACATAGCAGCATCGTTACCAGCTGTGGTTTGTTATTCGGTGGACAATTGGCATTGTGCTATACAGTGGGAGTCTTGGGCAGAAATTCTTGAGGAGACGAGAAATTGGTGCGGCATGAGTTGTCGGTTTGTATTTTCATTTTTAGCCTTTATTATTTTTTAATTTTGATTTCAAATATTATAAACAAAAGTATATTATCTTAATATTATTAAATTTCTTACTATTACTTTATTATTTTTATATTTGTAGTTCAATTATAATCTTAAGGACATATCCCTCGAGGCCACCACATACTTAGAGGAGAACATAGCAACCCGGTACAAACATTGGAATTGCAAACTCCACGCGCATTTTAAGAAATGGGATGATCCAAAGATTACTTGCCTAGAGGGTTGCCCAACGGAGTTGTTGGAGCGGTTGAAGGATTGGGAGTGGCTCTGCAAACATTTTACGGACACAAGATTTATGGTAAGTATGTACATAATATGTTAATAATAATTTATTATTGTTTTAGTTTTTTTTTAAAAAAAACTTTTTTACTAATTTCTTTCAAATAGTCGCACTAACATGTATATTGTGTGTTTAACAAAAGAAATCTATTGCTGGCAAGAAAGCTCAGGAGTCAAAGACACTTCTCCACCATTTCGATTAGATGCCCTTCTCTTATAGGGTTGAAGTGCGACGTTAGGTAAAGTATATTGATTTTAAATTTTATACAATTTAATTTTTTTTATTATGATTAATAACATTTTCTTAATTTTTTTTTTCTTCAGGAGGGTTCTAAATTCCCAGAGCTCGACATTTTCAAGGACGTTTATGTTCGACCTGTCAATGAGGCCACTGAGCAGCTCCATCTAAGTATATGTAATTGTTATTATTCTTGTATTTATGAATCGTTCAAATATTAACTACATTTTTATTAAATATTAATATTTTTTCTTATTATTACAGGCTACTATGGTGGAGAACAGTCTCTTAACAAGCGAAATCACAGCTTCCCCCGGATACCCCAATCGAGGACGTCACTGTACCCAAGGACGCGAGTCTTCAAATCCTGACTGAGACCCTAAATCAGACATTCGGTCATCGTCATGGCAAAGTTGTTAGGGAGATGAGGAAAGTGCGGGTTTGTGAGACGGGTGCCACCTTTTCCAGACTAACCATGGGACAGGTTGTTGCCCTAATGGAGGAAGTGGCAACCCTAAAAGCCCAAATTGCGGCCCAGGACCAGAAGATGAACATGATCTTACAGGCCTTCAAGTTGTCAGGCCTCCAAATCCCGATGCCACCACCTGATCCTGCTCCACCTTCAACATCCCAATTGTTTCACCCAGCCGATAGCCAGTATCTTGATGCATCAAACCTGAACAACTATTTGTTGTAGTTTTTTTTTTTTTTTTTTTTTTTTATTCGGATAGCTTGTACGTTCATTTTCATATATTTTATAGTTAAATATTATATATATATATATATATATATATTTTTAGAAGAAAATAAAACAAATAACAATACCTTTGTGCGAAGGTTTTGTCGTGCTAATTCTTAGGCGATGTTTTTGTCTTTGCGTGACAAACTGTGCTTCGTCACACAAACTGTTAATCATAGTAGTGTGTTGATACTAAAATCAGTGAGACTTTGGAATAACGTAAAGTGTCAAGTTTGTTACCTTCGCAAGGTTGCTCTAGTCATCTAGTGAGGATAATATGTAAAGAGATAGAGATAGAGAAGCAAACACAAGTTATCAATGGTTCAGCCTAAGTCAGGCTATGTCTATGAGGGTAAAAGAGTTCTATTTAGTAGTGAAGAGTTTACACAATACATAGGTTCAAGCACAATTATCATTAATTAGTGAGTTTTATTAACGAGTTTAAGTACGACAATGACATTAGGGATAATTGTAGAATAATGATCTCTTTTTATAGTTGATGAAAGTCGCAAGCTTTCATTCGCGGTCGATGTGGAATTTTAGGAGCTTTATTCTAATGTTGACACGTGCTGCATTATGATTGGCCTCCTGGTTAGAGTGAAGCTCTGTGACTTCGGCAAGGGTGCCTCAAAACGAATTCTTTAGTGGGTCCTTGAAGATATGACGTTGACCGGTATATGGTAAAAACGGAATTAAACCCATTTTACTCTTTTTGTTGGACTCCTTCCATCCTCACTTAAACTCCAAACCTAGTAATCAACTTCCTACACAAATCTATCAATGAATCTAAAGAAGGACAACAATAATATAGTGGATGACGGTTTTGAAGGTGCATGAGGTTGGGAGATCATGAGAGATATGATGAAGGTTGAGGTTGCAATGGAGACGAGAGAATATGAGACCACAAGGGAGATGAGGGAGGAAAAGAAATGAGGAGGGCTACTTAGGTATTGTTGAAAATGAATCTCACATTCATGGGAGAGGGAATCTTACATGAGTTTATAAGTTAGTTGGGATATCATCCTATTACCAATTACTTTTATAGTGAAGCCCCAACTTCTTTCAAGTATTAGATGTATACAAAACATCATGTGACAAATCCAAGAATCGAATTAGTTTAGTCAAAATCAACAATCCCCATTCGGGTCAGGCCAACACTGAGTTTTTTGGTTTTTCTTAGTTTGTTCTGGTTCAGTGTACCAGTTTAAATGGCCAACCCAATCCACCAAACAAGGTGGGGTTTTTCGTGGGATAAACCTTCCATGAACCCATTAGTTTTGTGTCATTTCGGTTTGAGTTAACAGATCGTCCAAGAAATAGCCATGTCTATATACCACGATCATAAGTTTTACAATACATTCATATAATGCAAATGGATAATGCTTCACGCAAGTTCGAATCTCCTTCTTCATATATTAGAATAATTTATGATATAGTCTTGTAATCAAAACCAAACATGAGAATTTGGACAATTAATAACACTCTTAGCAAAATGTAAGTAGTGATATTCTCGCCACCATATTATTGGTAGCCCATTGTGAGGCTAAGTACACTCTCTCACCCTTTTAGTATAGATAATATCGTTTGTTAAAAAAAGGTATATTGATAAATGCTATTAACCAATTGACCTACAAATTTTTTACGATATTTCTTTTTCATTAGGCATCCATAATAGTGCAGGAAAACCAATTCGTAGGGCACGCCACATATAACTTCATGGAAGGTTCCTGGTCACACAAAGCAACCAATTTTTTAAATTTGTCCAACAAAAACAAGATTGATGTGCTAGAGAGTATAATTTGTTTATTATGTTGTATTTAACTCTCAAATCTTTTCGTACACCCAATGCTGGACTAGAGTACTCATGTCAATTACAGCCCTATAAATTTGCAAACTTTCAACTCATTTTGGCAACCAAATCGATCGAGCTCATCATCTAAACAACAACCAACTTTAGAGAGTGAACCTAAAAGTAGCTCAATACTAGTTAGTTGTGATGGCCACTTCCCAGCTCTTCCTAATCCTAGCCATTCTAGCAATTTTTGCACCTTCAATTTTAGCAACAGATTATGTTTTTGGCGACTACAAAGGGTGGACGATTAATTTTGATTACCAAGCTGGGGCTCGGGGAAAGATGTTCTATGTTGGTGACAACCTGGGTAAATTCCAAAGACACTAACTTATCTCTAAGTTATATCATACATTAAAAGTTATATCATACAATAAATTTAGGCCAAATTATTATGGTCCTTGTGCTTTGGATGAGCGAAGTTCAGCTTCAGTCCATATAGTTTCAGTTGTGGAGATTTAGGTCCACGTATATTTGTTTAATTTTATTATTATAAATAGTGGTTTGGGAACTCATCGAAGAGTTTTTTTTATATCTTTGATCTTATGCAGTTTTTAACCATCCAAAAGGCGCCCACAATGTGTTCAAGTTGAACGGCACAGGCTTTTAAGAATGCTCTCCATTAGACTCTGTGCCATTAACAAGTGGAAAGGATGCGATCAACCTTGCAACCCCAGGAAGAAAATGGTACATTTGTGGTGTTTCTCAGCACTGTTTAGATGCTGGCCAGAAGCTTGCTATAACTGTGTTTCCATCATCCTTTGCTCCTAGCCCTAGTCCCACCTGGGGATACAGATCATACAGCTACCAGAAAGAGAATGCTGCTTCTAGCCCTGGCCCCACCTGGGGATACATCAACTAAAAGCGTTTAATTTGAACAAGGACATGGGAATCTAACGATTAATAACAACATTAGTCGTTGGTTAATATCCGATTAGTATCATGACTTTTTTCTAATTACATTGTTACCGAGTAATTGAGTTTTACCATTATTAATAAGTGAGTTTGGCAATCTGTTTGTGATGCTACAAACGTTGTATGAATTGTTCTGCAATTTTGTATACTTTGTTTCTTACGAAATCAAACACTTTTCTTTTGAGAGCACTTCCAACGTGCTCTTTTGCCCTGTGGACCCGCCCCATTTGCAATCCAATCCCCTGCCAAAGTGGCGCGAGTCCATATGGACAATTGGGCTAAGGGGGAGCCCGTGGGAGAGCTCAGGCGTAAGTCCAAGGCCAGAACGCCTGAGGGGGAGTGATGCAAGGCTAACATCAGTATGACGTCAGCCACGTTATAAAAATTTTTGTGTTAGGCGCATGCATAACATGCGCGTGTGGGGGTACTTTACCGACGATATTTCAGGCGGTAGGGCCCGCGTGGCAGCCCACTCAGTAGCTGTTGAATCTGGACCGTTAAATTTCCAGATCAATGGTCCAGGTTTTTTTTGCTTCAAAAATTAAAAAAAATAAGAAAAATAAGAAAAAAACACGAATGTTATGGTGGGCTACGTGTCACAATCTGGACTGTTGGATTTCAAAAAGTTTTGTAATCAACAGTTTAGATTAATCAAGTTAATAAAAAAGTTTAAAAATAATTAAAAATTCGAAAAAAAAATTCAAAAAAAAAAAAAAAAATATATATATATATATATATTTTTTTTTCTATAAATACCTTACCATTTTCTCCCACCTTACACTACATTTCAATATTTTCAACGATTCTAAACATGGAAGGACACATTGCGCGACGGAATTGGTTAAATTTTTTATTGAAATCTATCCATAAAAATTGTACTTTGGTTTCGGATAATGACACGTGACGTGACGAGATCGTTTATCCTATCCGAAATTAAAAATAAATTTATTTTTATTATTTTAGAAGATAAAAATTACTAATATTTTATTACCTATTATCATGGCTATTCAGTTTACGGGTGGAGATGCAAAAGACAATTACTGTTCATTAAAGACAGTTACTATTCACTTGAGGAGATTGAATTGCCTATTACCAAAGGGAGCCTTTACACACTGGAAATGCTTGATGAACTACTATAGCACAAGTTGTACTGTTTATCCTCCTCAATTGGGTCCACATTGTTCTTCTTCATTTTTGGCATGTAATATTAATCACACCTTGGGAAAATTCTTACCTATAATTTATTCGGTTGTATATCTCTTGTGTCCCTCACCATACAAGTGATATACAATTTGTTACAAGACAAATATATGTCTTGCATTTGGCATAAACTACTAGTCTAGCAGTGTAAGGTACGTGCTTGGCAAATATGGTTCCATTCCTTTTAGATGACTAACATAGCGGTATATTTTTGTTTTAACCACCGGGTCCACCTAGGGGTGGCCGCGGTCCAGTCTAGTTCGCTTTACCCTCGAAACTAAACTGAATAATAATCAGGTTTATTGGGTTTCAGAGTTTATTTGGTTTGGAATTTGTTTGATGGCAAAATCAGTGAAACTTTGAAATAACGTAAAGTATCAAGATCTTTGTAAGGTTGCTCTGGTCATCTAGTGAGGATAAAGAGATAGTGATAGAAAAGCAAACATAAGATATATGTGGTTCCTCCTAAGTTGGGCTATGTCCACGAGGGTCATTAATAGTGAAGAGTTTACACAATACATAGGTTCAAGCACAATCATCATTAGTGAGTTCTAATGACGAGTTTAAGTATAGTAATGGCATTAGGATTAATTGTAGAAAATGATCCTTTTTTATAGTTGAGGAGGGTCACATTCTTTCGTCCGCAATCGATGTGGGACTCTAGGAGCTTTATTCTAATGTTGAAACGTGTTGCACTGTGATTGGCCTCCTGGTTGGAGCAAAATTCTTGTGCTTCAACAGGGATGCCTCAACGTGAATCCTTCGGTGGGTCCCTAAAAATATAAAATCAACCGGTGATCGATAGTTTCGGGATTGATGTATGGATAATGCTTCACGCAAGTTCGATTCTTCCTCTTCATATTTTAGAGTAATTTATGACAATGCTTCACGCAAGTTTGAATCTCCTCCATGTTCGGCTATCTCATTTATCCCATGCTCCAAGCACGTAGACACGGAATCGCCACGTCTCAAAGATCGTGCCTTGAAAATCAGGTTTAACACCATCGTGCTTACATGGAACATCGTGAAAACGGCTAAACCTTACATCTTTTGAATTTAACTGATTAAACACAATATCTTTAAGATCTTATTCTCGAAACCATCTTGTCCTTCTGCCTATAAAATCCCAGCTCCTCTTAATCAGTATTTTACGCTTAGAAACAAACTCTCAGAATCCCTAGCTTCCAAATCATTTGCAACAGCATACCTTATAATTTTCCAACAATGGCTTCCACTACTCTTGGCCAACAACTCCTTGAAGAATTTGAAAAGACTCCCGAAATCATGGACTAGCATGTCATCAAGAACTTCCGCTTCCTAGATGAAGAAAAATCAATGCACAAAGTTCTTGATCCACTTTTCAAGACCAAAATTCCTGAGTCCGTTTTCTCCCTGATGAAAACGCATCGTCTATCTCCTTTATTCAAGAACCAAGACTGGTCCATATAGGAGGTCACCAAGCCTCAAGTTGTATGGACCCCCAACAAGGTGGTCCTCTCTAGGTGTTTCACCTGTGGCTCCAAATCTACTTCACACCGTTGAGAGCTGACAATATTCCCTTCAAGAACACCGAAGCCATGGGTTTTCAATTGGCTTCCCTCACTGCGCTAGATCATTCAGCGGTAGAATTTTTCCAGTTCTTATTCGGCTTAAAAACTTTAACCGAAGATGAATTTATGATCTGCTGCCAAAGATCCTACCCGTCGACTTTAGTGCTCCCTACGATTGACTAGGATAAAGCCACAGAAAATAGAATCCGGCCGAACTGGGATCATTCTTACTCTCTTGAGATCTTCAATTTGGCTGTGAATCGCGTCGCGCAAGTTTCGAAGTTTACCAGCCGAACTTCTTTGCACCCCAAGGCTTTCTCAATCTTGGCAACTTCTTTTTCTCACCTTGAGCATAACAGAAAAACCAGGGTCATCGAACAAGAATGCAACACCGCCAAAAACAAACATGGCGAACGTTGCTCCCAATTTTGATTTTGGCCGTACTCTGCAGAAGTCAAAACAATCTTCGACGATCATCCTAGAATACCTACGCCAAGGCTTTCTTAATGTAAGTTGTCCTTGTACCTTTCTGCCAAGGCCTTTTTATTGTAAGCTGTCCTTATATCTTCCTTTTCCAAACTCTATTGTTTTAATTTATCCTTCCTCATTTAGGTGGCTGAACTATGAAGAGTTCAAAGGTGGTAGCAGTTCTAACAGCAAAGAAAAAGACTCTGCAAAAGAAGAAAACCTTCCAGCCTTCAACGGCTGCTACTGTTTCGGTGGAGCTCACCCAAACAGGAGTAAAAAGAGCTCGCTCCTTCTTACCGAATAAGAAGCCCTTTGGCTCAAACCAAGCCCACTCCAAAGCGAGTTAAAAAATTGGCTGAAAAAGGGAAGCGCCAAATCCTGAATCCCTCGACAAGTCAAGGAACCCTGGCGACTTCTCTTAAAGCTGATAAGGTGAAATCTTCAACAGCTCCAGTAATTCAGGTCGGTAGACTCAAACCTATATCGGTGGCTCCCCATTGTCCAGCCACTACCCTTTTGGTTGCCGAAGGGGAATCCTGTGGCGAGCACACCAGTTTCACCAGCAGACCCTATCATGACATCAACTCCTCTAAACCCAACTACCCCTACGCGCCGTGTGATTATTTTGGAGGATGAGATGAATCTCGATCACTTTTTTCTTTGAAACTCTATTTTCCCCTTGTACTAACGTCAAACTTTTAGGACAAAGACGAGGATGAAATTCCTCTACAACATCATCCTCAACTCAGGGCTGAGAAAGAGACGACACTACCCCCACAGGATAAAGGAAAAGGGAAAGTGGACTTACCTATCGGTTATGTTCCCGTCTTGGCTGAAAACGAGGCCCCAGAAGCTACTACTAAGACAAAACCTCACCTTTAAGAGCAAGACCTTGGCATCTCAAAACAGGATGTCACTTCAGCTTATTTGAGTTACCTCTTTCTTCTACTTGTATCATTTCTTATATGATGCGAAACTAAAACCGACCAAATAAACCTATCAAGTGAGGGGGCAATCTTATCATCATTAATTCTACAGGCTGCATGGTGTTATTGCCTGCTCTTGCTAAACTCCAATAGCTGATGTCCTTCTCAACCTAAGAAATATTGAAACATGATGCATTCGGCTGATTTGTGAAGGTAACAATGATCTCGCAGCTGAAGGCTTAATTAGCAACGAGGGCATCACTCACATAACATCATTTTTGTATCTTTGAAGAAGTGTTGCAGGCTGAAAAGAATTTAGAAGAGGTGGCGGTTGCTCAGGGGGCCATCAAGCCAATCCTTGAGGTGATAAAAATGCAGAAAAATGAAATAATCGAGAACCGTCGTAATGTGCTTTCTTTAGAATTGGAACAGGGTTATGAGACCCATAAACCTCAACTGTTGGAGTACGCTCTGAGCATGCAGAAGATTTAGCAATTAAGGGCTGATAGGTGAACTCGGCAGGCCAAGATCTCAATCAGGAAGGCAAAATGGCCATTCATGCCTAACTTACATATTGTAATCTGGCGCCAAATTGTGGCATAGCTAAGTGATATTTGTACTTCTCCTCTCTTTTAATAGAATTCCCCCTTTTTTTTTTTTCTTGTTTGCAAAAAAATCATTCTCTCATTTCCCAAGTCACTAGATAATATTTGTTCAAAAACTTGCTGTTACTCAGTGACCTATGTATTTGTCCTTTAAGATCCTTAAGGTAATATGCCCCCTTGTCGAGGACTTTATATACG